GGCGGTACGCCATGTTTTTGTAAATAGGGGTAGATATAAATTTTATTTTCTCCTAAATTCCTTTGTCTTTAACGTGTTTCTAGAACTTTCTAACCTATTCCTTTTCTGTGGGTGGGGGACGACCTTTGTCCAAGGACAAAGGGGAGAAGACAAAAGGGACATTAAGAAGCCCTGAGGCCATCAGAGAGAACGAACTGGATACTTTTGGGTCAGCGTCTGAGGTGTGCAGACGTAGGAAAGAGCAAGCTAGAGGTTTGTCGCCTAGTGGGACAAACGGAGAAGGCTTGGAAGTCGTCTGCGAACGGACGAAAATTAGAAAGACATCCAGCCATAAGACCTCAAGAAAAAACGCTCCCGAATTCTCAAGAGACGGAATCAAGAGGAAGGAAATTGAGTTAATTCAAGTACCAATATAGAGAAGATCGGAGACTCCCAAGTTTACCCGGGTACCCCCACAAAATCTGTCCTTTATACTTATCTCTTCTCTTCATATCTCTTAATTTCTTTACCCTTCTTCCTTAGCATATAAGCTAGATTAAGGTAGATTTAAGTAGTCGTAGTATCTTAAACCATAATCTTTTTATTGTCGCGAGCACGTGTTCTATTTGTGAAAATATAGAATTTTGTCGGACGGATTCGAACTTGTGCACGTACTATAGTTTGGGATCAAGTGTGTTTAGTGTAAACGAACCAGGTGTACGAAGGACTAAGTAGCTGTAGTTGAATAAATATCCTGTTTAATTTTATGGTTACTTCTTTGTCATCCTTTTTTGTCCTCCACACCACCACATTTCCTTTGTCAAAATCTATGCATAAGTACAATCTAGACCAATTAAGCCCTTGTTTGGTTGGTTTATTTGGTTATGGCATGCAACATGTGGGTGATTTCTTCAGGGGATGACTTTCAGCAGTACTTTCTATGGGAAACTGGCACCCTATTTAGGTGTTACAAATTTGAAAAAAATCTGGAAAACTCCACATGGCTGGCCTGTTGGCCAGGTGCAAACCTGCAACCAACTACCAGTGTTTAGTGGTTTTATCCACTTGGCCACTGGTGGGCGCAATTAACCTTGTCCTCTCGATTTTTTCTTGATCTTCTGTAAATAACATGGAATTGAATAAAAATCATTTTTGTAATTACACCAATATTTTTGATGTATTGTAGGTAATATTTTAATTTAATTTACCCAAGGGTGTTATTTTTCATTGTTTTTAAAATGGTTTATTTTTTGCTTTAATGACATAAAAATTTGGTCATTATTTTAGTCTTTTTTTGACCCCATATCTGGTTTATTTTGATGGAACAGAGATGGTAACATTGCTCCTATGGGCCATGGCCTACAGTCATTCAGAGCTGCATTTAAACTGTCCAAAAGACATGTGGATAAAATATTAATGATAATGTAATTGTAAATTCTATAGTGATATTAATCAAGATGTACTAGTAATTGAAAAAATATGCATATTTTAAGGATTTATAGAAATGTGATTTTCTGAAAGCAAAAATTAAAATTCTCATAACTCTTCATAATATGTTAGGGAAAATAAAGAGTCCATTAGAGGGCTTCAAGTTTCTTGAAAAATTTATTCATTTTATAAGCAAGATAAAATATAGATAGGGTTTCTGACTCTTCTGAATTCTGCAGGAGACTTGAATTTTGGCAAAAGTTTTGAAATCTGTAACTTCCAAAGTGAGGCCTATTCCTGTTGATTTTACTTCATAATCAACTTATGCTTATACTGTTTATAATAAAGAATATGAGACAGAACTACTGAGTGTCAAACTGGAATTTGTTACAAAATATAGCATACATTTTAAACTTTCAGCAACAAACAGTTT